TGTGGAGTTGAAAAGGATGATATTGGAGGAAGGACACCGGAGTAACTTAAGTATTCATCCGGGAGCGAATAAGATGTATCAAGATTTGAAGAAAATCTTTTGGTGGTACGGATTGAAGAGAGATGTAGCTCAGTTTATGTATGCATGTTTGACTTGTCAGAAGTCTAAGGTGGAACATCAGAAGCCTAGTGGATTGATGCAACCGTTGGATATTCCAGAATGGAAATGGGATAGTATATCGATGGATTTTATTACGGGATTTCCAAATACGCAAAGAGGTCATAATGCTATTTGGGTGATTGTTGATAGGCTTACTAAATCTGCTCATTTCGTTCCAATTTATATTACTTATCCTTTGGAGAAGTTGGTCGAGATTTATGTTCGTGTGGTTGTGAAGTTGCATGGAGTTCCTAAAAGTATTGTATTGGATAAAGATCCTAGATTTAATTCAAGGTTTTGGGTCGAATTTGATTTAATCGGTAGAAACCGAGTTTTAACGGTTAAAATGAGAATAAGTGGTAAAGTTTAGTCGAGGAATGTTAGGCTAAGGCGGTTGAAACTGGTTTGGTGAGAATTGGTTGATTTTGGAAGGATTGGGTGATTTTGACAGTTAGGGATTTCTGAGTTCGCAGATTCGCTAGCATTCGCTAGGGGAATGGGAGAAAAGGTTCGCCAGGAGAATCCTAGCGAGTGTGTAGCGAACCAAGTCAGTAGCCCAACCCTGTCTTCGCCAGGAGAAGGAGGCGGCGAGAGGCTTCGCCAGGCGAGTGTGGTAGCGAGTGGTAGCGAACACTTCCAGTAGCTACTGTCTGTCTTCACCATCGAGTTCGCCAGGCGAGTATGGTGGCGAGCATTCGCCAAATGCTTCGCCAGGCGAAGGTCGGCGAATGTGACAACATTTTCTTTTATTTTCCTATGCTTTCCATCCAATTGTCGATTGTTTGGTTTAATTATGTTTAATCCTTATCTGAATGGATAGTTTGTATGTTGTTGTGATGTGATGTGATGTGGGTAGCCGTAAGGCGTGAATCCTAGATTGTGAATCGTGGAGTGTGAAATGTGGCCGTTTGGCATGATTAACGTGAATGTACGTAAATTGTATGTGCTGGTATGAGGTGAAAATGCATAATTATATATTTGTGGATATGTATGCATTTCAAGAGTATGTTGGGTCTTTTTGCATGTGAAACATCATGATTGCATTCTTGTGTGTCTGATCCCGCGTAGGATCTACAGAAACCTCGTGTGCCCTTATGGGGTTGTGAGCGATGGTTTATTTTTGATCCCTAGGAGGATCTACAGAAACGATCGTGTGCCCTTGTGGGGTGTGAGCGATGGTTTATATTTGATTCCATGGAGAATCTGCAGAACGATTGTGTGCCTTTATGGGGTGTGAGCAATCGGATTGTGTGCCCGTGTGAGGTGTGAGCAATCCTGAAACATCGTGTGCCCATGTGGGGTGTGAGCGATGGGTGAACATCGTAGGACCGACGGGGAGTTACTTCGGTAACGAGCGATGGTTCCATTTGGTTCTTCAATTGAACCTGCTGAATGAGTCGGTACCTCATTTGCATCTGCATAGAGTCGTGAGTCGGTCTCTATGAGTTGCATTATCATCTTCATATGGTGTATTGGTGTAATGAACATAATCGTGTATGTTTATGTGAATTGTTGAAGTAAACATAAGTGTAAATGTTTATGTGGAAATTTTGTGAGTTGTGAAGCATGATTGGTGAATATGCATAGTTGTGTAGATATACATTGTGAGGTATGTGATGAATTGTGATGAGTTGCGGTGAGAAATATGTTATGTGTATTCTATGTTGGTGTATATAGATATATAATTATATGCATTGTTTGTTATGATAATGTTTCTCACCCTTCTGTTGTTTTATGACGCTCTATGAGGCATTGCATAGTAGGTTTGCTGGAGGTCTTTTGTGAAGCGTGACTTCATTCTTTTTGGTCGATTGGCTTTGATATGTAGCACCGGGTAGTTAGGAATTGTTTTGATTCTTTTGTGATACATCTGTGTATGTATCTGCTGGTGAATGTTTTGTAAACATGACTTATGACTTGAATTAAACTGTTGATGTATATAATGTTTATATGAATGAAGTGATTCAATGTTTAGATGTTTCCGCTTTTATTCTAAATATTGATATGTTGGTTTCAAGGGCTGAGTTCCTTTGTTGTGATTTACCCTTTGTTGCATATCCTTATGAGCAGGTGTTGTATGTGTTTTGAATTTCCTAGATAATGTGACGTGTCTCTTTTATACCATGTGTTAATTTATACTCTGATGAAAATTTTTATTAAGTGCCTAAATGATTTAATTGTTTTATTTGGGGGGTATAGAAAGGGGGTGTTACACAGACGATGCGAAACGAAAAACAAAATCTTAGGGTCAAAAATTAGAGTATGACAAATGTAAGGTTGATGGCACTGCCCTTATTGCCAGGATCCATTCACGTCCTAACAACAAATTGAAGTTTACTTTGGAGTTTATCACCATGAACAACATTGACCGGGTAGTTGTACCAACATCCAGTTCGACTTGGATCACTCCTAGTATGTTACTGGTTTTTCCTTCATAGTTGGATAAAACCATACTGTGTTGTCAAAGATCGGCATCACAATTTCTCTTCTTTTTGAACAAGGTATGAGGCATTAAATTGACACCTGCTCCTCCATCGACAAACACCTTGTTTACTGGCATCCCATCTACCTTTGCCCCTATGAATAATGGTTTCAGATGATACATAATTTCTAGACTAGGCTTCTCAAACATAGCCTTTTGCTCCTCCACCACACCACTGTTCATAACATAGTAACACAATGGTTTGTCTTCAACAGTTTCGTCTAGCACAAAGTCTTCATCAGCTTTGAAAACTTCTGACACTCTGTCATATTCAACACGTAACACCGACACAATACTGCAGTTGATGATGAATTCTTCACCATAATTTTCGTTGACTATCTCATCTTCTGGTGAAGTGGTATACTCAGGCTCTTCTTCATCTGCCTGGGGAGTGTATTCAGGTTTTTCTTCATCTGAATGGAAGTGTATTCAGGTTCTTCCTCCTCGATCAGAGGAGTGTACTATGTGTTCTGGGTTGATACTATCTCCTTTTCTCCCGAAGGATCAACATTCATGGCCATCGCCTGATTCACCATGATTTTTTCTTTCTCGACCAACCTTTATTTCGTATACCCCCTATAGTAGCGCTTTTAGAAAGCGCTTTCGTATTCCCCCTATAGCAGCGCTTTTTGAAAACGCTTTCGTATCCCCCCATATAGCAGCGCTTTCTTAAAAGCGCTTTTTATTGTATTACAAAATAACAACCTTTAGCAGCGCTTTCTAAAGCCTGTGTTTTTTTCTCTTTTTTTATAAATCTTTTAGCAGCGCTTTTAAATAAAGCGTTGTCTTTGCTGCGCTCTCAAAATTCATTTTTGGCATAGTGACACACACGCACCCACCCACCCACCCACCACACACACGCACGCGCATACACAGAGAGAGAATTTCTCAAAATTATAAATCAAAAAAATTAAATAAAATTAAATTAGAAAATCCTTTAACAAAAAATAAAACATTAAACAACTATCAAAATGAAATAACTTTCAATATAAAATCCAACACTATAATCACATAAGAATCATCAAATAGTTGTGATGCAATGTTGAAGGTACTTTTAATATAAAATCCAACACTATAATCACACAAGAATCATCAAATAGTTGTGATGCAATGTTGAAGGTTACCATTTGAATAGCATTTTTTAGGGTTTGCAACTTTGCCGGATTACATATGGGATATCGGGTGGTTTAAATTCCTAATCCTAGAATTGAGGACTAAGGACTTCCACAGTGGTACTTCGGGTTAGGGCGTGTTGGTTTTCGTAAATCCTCGACGATTTTACAGCTTCGTTTGTTTCGAGTTCTTAGACGGGCATATTGATGATGGAGGTTATTCCGTCAAATCCTGCTCTACTATCTCAAGAAGAATATCTGATAGAAAGGAGTACTAAGAAATTTAAAGATAAAGAAAGTTTACAATTTTCTCTTTTCAACCCTAACAACTTGTAGTAGCTGCATGACTTTCTGGCACTAAATGCCAAGGTGTTGCAGACGTTTTCTACGGAAACTTTGCATTCCCCAGCAAGTTGGGAAGGACGTGGTGATAAACATTACGATCCTCTATTTCCATTTGGATTCGGGTTGACTACAAACCTTACCAAGTATTATTAGATCTCGTTTATCTTTCTAGTGCAGTTATGTGATTCAACACTAGAATAGAAAAATGTTGTAAACCGGTATCTTGACAATTTCAGTAGTATAAACATGTAATTTTCTTTGGTATTTGAACCTTTTCATAAAAATAATTCTTGCCATTCAAGGAACTTATTACTGAAAATTGATATTAGTCATTATTATTCAAATGGAAAGATGGCAAGGTCAATTTCAAATAAGGAAGATTTATGAAAAGTAAAAGTCCCAAAAAGCTTTATTACCATTCATACTGTCTTGTCATTTTTGCTTGGAAAGCAAGAGAAACAAACGTTATAAAGTTATTCATGACCATCTTACACATTGTGATCTTAGTGATCCCTTAATCCTAAACGGTTTGAGCTCATTTATTGCTAAATGTCACAACTTGCAACATTATAATGCAAAAGAGTATCATGAATAAAAACACAATAATTAATACCAACAAAAACAGGACACAACAATTGAATACAACTAAACAGAACACGAGCACACAGCTTTATACCGATTGAACATGAACAAGAAGATTTAGCATTCAACTTGAGCTCATTTATTGCTAAATGTCACAACTTGCAACATTATAATGCATAAGAGTATCATGAATAAAAACACACAATAATTATTAATTAATACAAATTAAAAAAAAGGAAACAAGCATACAACTTTATGTTGCCAATCTACCGCGTCATGTCTCATGAAATACTTCTGAATGAAAGCTTTGATATGTTGTCTTATCTATGGTTTAGAAACAAAAGAGATAGACGTTTTGACTCTTCTAGCATGTGCTTCAACAATAGACCTGTATAATGTATTGTTTCAACAGTATTATTGCAATTTATCTGACATAATTTTCTAGAATTTATCACAAGTATTCTCAAAGAATCAACTTATTTCTATTTGAAAGATTAAATCATCTAAATGAGAATGAAACCTAAATCTTAGTGGTTGGAAAGTAATATTAAGTAATAAAACATATAAATATGGAATATATATCTAGGAAGTGGTGGAAGATTCATACCTATTGAACATGGACAGGAAGATTTATCATTCAACTGCATATTTTCTGTTGGAGGAATAATTAGTTGTTGCTGGTCATCTTCATTTTCAGCTCCAATTTCTTGGTCTTGTGATTCATTCATATCAAATTTCGAATGTCCATGACAATCATCCAAAACTTTAATATTATCAAAATGATGAGATAGTTGAGTGTTGGATTGTATTTCAACAATTTCAACTCCACCAATTCTACCATCCAACACAAAACTATGTTTCGAGTCATATACAGGAATGACCCCACAACCCTTGATCCACTCTGGTTTTGCAACTCCAAGTTCTTTATAGTTGAATTTAAATGAAAGGTTGTAATGATAACCTCCACTTTCACTCCCAATCTTCACCCAGTCAGAATTATAACATTCTATGCAACCTAACAATACATGATCTGAAATTAATACACCTGACCAATACCATTTCCAGTATCGGTCAACTTCTTCGTTGTGTTGATAAATAGTACAAGAAATTTCACCGACAGTAGTAATATCCCATCCTCCAGAGAGAATGATGCAAAAGGCAAAACCATACAAACCATATCTTGAAATAGGAGGAATAACTATCGAAGCCTTAGTTGTATGAAAAATAAACTCATTAGGAACTTGAGCACCTAGAAAGAAACATGAATCCATATGATAACTCATATAATAACTTGGTATATTCCAGTTGCTCCATGAATGGGATCTGTCGTGTAATATGTTCTCAGATGAGCGGAGTTTGTGTAACATATTCTCAAGTATTGATCGTTGAAAGGAGTTGGTCTTCAAATGAATGCAATTCTTGGCTGTAAAGCTGTGCAAGCTAACTGGAAGTTTTGGTAGGTACTTAAGTTTCTGGCAGTCATCTAAATCAAGAATTTCCAACATTGAATTCTTATGGATGTTGTCGGGGAGAGTTTCTAAGTTGTGGCAATTTCTCAAACATAAAAGTTTTAAAGATGGTGTACCATCAAGGATGAACCAAAGACTCGATGTATTGATCTGTGTGCATCCTGTAAGGTGCAGTTCAGTAAATTTCTCATTACACAACATAAATGAAGAAAATCCACGTACAACAGCGTCCCATAAAGACAACTTCATCATTTCCTTTGATGTCACCGAAAATTCCACAAGAGATGATTTAGAGAGATTAAGTATTTGGAGAGATTTTGAATGAATGTTATTTTTCAGGCTTTCAATCTTTTTGCAGCCATCTAATTGTAGTTCTATAAGCTTGGGGGCACTAAAAATGGATGGATGGAGTTGACAGAGACTCTCACAATAAGAAAGGGATACTACTTGAAGATTTGGGGCCCTTGATAGATCTGGAATCTCAATCAGGTCTTTGGAGTAATCAAGATTAAGAATCATTAAATTGTCAAGCCTCTATATGAGAAAAAAAATAGCACATTGTTGCGAAATCATTAAAATAAATTCATGATCATACATTAGCCTTAACTAAAAGGGAATCATTAAAATTTAACAGAGCTAATACATTAATTAAATTGTACCTGAATTCCATCCCAAAGCTTTTTAAGCTTGCTACTCAGCAATGTAAGATTTACAAGCCATTCTGCACAAAAGGTTGATGGCAAAGACTCAAGTGGAAATGCATCCCAATGAAGATGCTTCAATTTATCGGATAACCACTCAAGACCTTCAAGGAGATGCAGTCTACTTTCATTATATGTAGTTATATGAAGATGTCTTAAGTTGGTCATGCTTTTAAAGGAATCAGAGCTCAAGTACAAATTCCCAAGTTGATCAATATTAAATTCTATAACTTCAACAATTTCAGTTCCCTAAAAATCAAATTTAGAGTAATGATTAGTAAAGACTAACATACATATTAATCTTATTTATATTTCATCCATTTTCATATACAAGTAAATGAATCTCTCACTTACCATTTTATATTTCAATACATCATACACATCTTTTTGATCCCACAATCGACTTCTTCTTCCGGGGTATTTGACTGATTCTTTCAAAACAATCTCTTTTCCCATTTCTTTTAACAAATCATGCATTAGGATACGTTGTTCGTTATCGTTATTAAAGTATATGAGGGCTTTATATAGAAGGACTTCTAATCCACTCTCAGCAAAAAAATCGCAAGCATTCCATAGTGCTCTTATGTAATCTTTACCGACAAGAGAGATATAATAACCTAGTAGTTCTTCGGAGATGCATGCAATGTCTAGAAATATGGCTTGTTGAGTAGAATCTAAGTCATCAAAACTCAATTTTAACACATCATGGATTCTCTTATTGGGAATTTTTTTTAGTTTCTCCAACTCACTTTCCCATGCTTCTTTACTTTTTTTTGTACGAAAGTTTGCACCTAAAACTTTCAACGCCAGGGGATTGCCTCTACAAAAAAGAATTGCCCTTTCTGAGAGATTATCATATCCATCCTTAGGACACTTTTCTCCAAAAGCATTCCAACAGAATAATTGAAGAGATTCATCTGCATTCATCTCCTCAAACTCATATATTTCACACTTGTCAAATTGACTACATATCTGCATATCCCTAGTTGTGATAATGACTCTACTTCCCTTTCCCAAGCAACTATTGACTATGTTTACATTCTCTGCTTGCTCTAAGGTTGCCACATCATCCAACACAATGAGACTTCTTTCATGTGCAAGTCTGTTTTTGAAAATTGGAGTTTCTGCATAAGGTGCATTGAGAGGAAACTCCAACAATGTAGAAAAAAGTTTGTTACGTACAGACTTGAGTCCATACTTGGTTGATTCTTCCCTTATATTTTCAATGAAGCAAGTACGTTCAAATTGAGAACAGAGTCTACCATATACATGTTTGGCTAGAGTGGTCTTTCCTATGCCTCCCATTCCCCATAATACAAGGATCCTAACATCATTTGACCCAATTTTCAGTAAAGATTCCATCTTTTCATACTTTGTATCAATGCCAACAAGTTCCCTGTTAACTTCAAATGGGTATCTCCCATACAATTTTTTCAAAACATCTTCTACAATGTCCTTAACGAAATTTGATTCCATCCTACCAATATGAATGGGAGTGGAAAAAGGTTAACATTTATCCTCAACATGATTGACCAATAAACAATGGAAAAATAGATTTAGAATAAATTAGGTGGAAAATTAATTTTATTTACCCGTAACTTTGAGAGTTCCATCCCGATAAATTGGCTGCTTCGGTGAGTGCATCTTTCCATTTCTGCAACTTGTCTTTGTCGTGTCTCAAATCTCGCTCATGTTTTTCAAAAGCTTGCTGATAAGTTCCAGATTGATTCCTGACATCAGATGGTTCTATATCATAGAAAACAGGTATGACAATCTGTCTCCGATCTCTCTTGCATTCTAGAATCTTAACGAGTTCATTCAAACACCATTTTGAAGATGCATAGTCTTTTGAGAATATGACTACAGATGCGTCTGACTCCTCAATGGCTTTGTTGAGTGCTGATGAGATCTCATCTCCTTTTTCAAGTTCAATGTCAATGAATGTTAGAACTTTTTTGTTAAGAGCTTCATAAAGATGACTCGTGAAGGTTTTACGAGTATCCTCACCACGAAAGCTAATAAAAACATCAAATCTTTTCAAGGATGCTACCTTAGAAGATGAAGAAGAAGAACCTATGTATTGTTGCATAGCCATTACAAATCTCCAATAGTATGCTTGGTGTAATACTATAGAAGTGTTTATATATACCAAGCGGTAAGTTGGAGGAAGCTTCGTTGGGCTTCATGATTATTTATTTCAACACAGTACGCTGTCACAAAGAAAAAGTAATGAATTGTTTGTCTTCTCTTTCTCCAATAATTGCTAAACATAAAATAGTTGGACTCAGTCTCTTATCTTCTCTTTCTCCAATATATAGTCATTTCCTAATAGTGTGATGTAAATTGAAAGCGTTTTACTAAATTTACTAGAGTCAACCACTCCTTGATGGCACCAATATCTAATTTGTACTATGTCACAACTGGATTACAATATGCGTTGTGATTATTTTTTAGTTTCATTTAGCAAATGGTTTGTCTATAAACTTGGTTTATGGTTGAAGTAAGAGTTAGGTTTGGTCACGTAAGTTCAAATAAAATGGTAAAAAATTAAAGTTGCTCGTATATTTGATATCCAAAGAATGCTTTCTTTTTATAACAATCATATTCTTTGGTTAATTTATAAAAATTTACATAACCTTTTTTTTTTTGTTTGCGTGTGCGCGTGCGTGTGCGCGTGCGCGTGCGTGTGTGCGCGCGCGCGCGCAAGAGTTCGTACAATCACAATACTACCAAGGTCAACTTAGAGACAATAACCTCCTTCTTTTTCACTAGAATTGTCAAAACCAAACACAATACCATACAATCTTGCAAACCTCTGAAATCTTAAACAAATCTTTAATGAAACATTACATTCAAAATCAATCTCCTCAATCAATCACTAATCTTCTAAGATATGATTCGAACACATGTAACAATGAAAAAAAATTGTTTGCAAATGTTTACGAAAGATTCAAACTCTTATGACAAAAAAAAAGAACAAGTTTTGTTTGTGAGTTTCCAAATCATCAATGGAAGAATGTGATTTATAATGTTGTGTAAGGTTTTGAGAGTAAAAAACGACTTATAGGTGCTGGTGATGAAGTAAAAAATGTGAAGAAATCATGTTAGATTCGAGTCAACAACATATGGGGATTTGAGTCAAGTGGTCAAGTAATATGAGACAAGATCTATAACACCCTTCTAAACCCTACGAAATACATATAAATAATTAGAGTAAATCATCATGCATTCACACAAGGGTGTCACACATTATTTTCAAAATATCAAAAACACCTGTCATGCTCATTAACACTTTAATAATTAATCATGCTATTTAATGTTTCACTTCGTGATCGGGAAAATAACAAGTGTACTATTTTTACCAAATGTAGTAATAAGGGAAAAGTCCCCAGTATCGATCTCGAGGACTGCGTAGTAATTAACAGGATTTTTAGGATTCAAAGGAACAAAAGGTCTAGTGGTTTGTTTGGTAGCAGAGTAATATAACAAGTAAATAAAGACTTATAAATCAATCTAAGAACAGTGTTAGGGGAGTGGAGACGATGCGAGTAAAGACCATGTATGATTATTCTGCTATAATAGTTATTAACCTTAATTCATCAGTTGGCCAATTTAGTATTCTTAATTCCTTAATGAAAACCCTTTGATGAGTTTCCTGTACACTAATTCCTCAGTGTCCATGAAAAGCATCAAGCAATAGTTCCGACCATAAAATACGTGATATGGGATATCCTCATTCCTAAGCAATATCGACCGTGATACTATTTTGCAAAAGTGTTAGGTTGACTTTCCAGACTAAAACCTAAGCATAATTCGAATTCTACTTTCCAATATGAATACGCATTAAGATTAATGCAAAATAAAATATATAAAGTTAATAACATAGTTCTCATAGAATAATCAAACAAAAGTCATTACATCGCAACTTAGGACCACCCCCTAACAACTTGGGGTTTAGCTGCTCATGTTCTTTGAAAACATAAATGCAATTAGAAATGAAAAGGAGAAGATCATTACAATTCGCGTTGGATCCCTTGGATCATCAATTGCTTCCGCTTTTGATCGATCCTCTGTTCTCCAGAAGAACTCTCTCCTCAGTTGTCAATCCTAATATCAATTCAAAAGTGTCTCCTACTTTCTAAAAAGTGACTCTTATATCTAAATTCAAATTACATCGCGAAATGTCTCAAATGCCCTTCGAAATAGGTCTGACAGCAAAAAATCAGAAAATATAACAATTTCACTCTCAGTGGCCCTGACACGGGCCGTGTTGTGCAACACGGGTGGCCGTGTCAGGCTGCTGACTCCTTCAGGGCGCGTTTCCATCTCCAAGGGCTGCAACACGGGCCGTGTTGCATGACACGGGCACCCGTGTTGTACGTCTGATTCCCCTTTTCTTCTGCTTTGGTCTACCCGTGTCTGCCAACCGTGTCCTCCATGACACGGTCTGTGTTGTGCAACACGGGTACCCGTGTTGTAGCTCTGACTTCCCTTTTCCGACTTTTCTTTGCCTCCGAAAGCGGTGCGACCGTCATGCTATCCATTCCTGCCAAAAACACACTAAAAGAAACCGAATCAAACACACCAGCGGCAAAAGTAATACAAACTTAAAAATAAGACTTGAAGACAAACAACTACGAGTAATTCAGATAATAACAACTAAAGCTTCGAAAAAAGATAAAAAAACGTTGCGAAATTAACAACAAACAGCGTTTGAAAACACAAGTGAAATCCACCGATCAAACTCCCCCGAACTTGAACTTTTGCTTGTCCTCAAGCAAAAAGCTCGCCAAACCGAACTTAATATCTTTTTCATAACGGAACGTCCATAGAATTGTGAGTTACGGTGATGATACTCATACTTGAACTTCTCATTCCAAGTCCCCTAGGATTAATCTCGGCTTTTCCCTCAAAACAGGTAACATGCAAACACTAGACTGCGGTAAACCACAGACCTCAGTCTCCCTATGGGTAACCTCTCCGACTTTATATGTACTTAAGTCTTCTTTTTCGATTTTCCTCCCTTTCATTCGGACAATCACTATACGGCTTTTATGATTTTCCTCGTGTGCACAAGATTCATCAACGACATTTTTCTTTTTCTGGCACTGTTATTCTTTTTGAATGGCTTTCAGGTTCGACCGCCGTTGGGCTGAATAACCGGGTGAGGGTTACCCAACTTAGAAGGATTATTCGCCTAATTTCCCCTTTTTGTTTGTTTTTTTTTTTTCTTTTTCTATGCCTTAGCTCAATATTTTTCATTAACCTTGCACACACAATTCTTATTGATGAAACCTGATTGTCAAAATAAACTACTCAGGGGTACTTCTCAGATCAAAGCACTATGGTACAAATCTACACGTCGAACTCGTTCCTATTCGGGAAACCCAGGGTGTTTTCCTTTTACCTATCTCTCAAGATTGTTCCGATTTCATCCTCACAGTTCTTTTCTGAGTATTCTATATACTTTCTCATCACCTCACTCAACATCTTCACTAAACAGTTCCCCAACCAACAATGTTATTAATTTCATTAGCTCAATGTCAGGGGGTTTTCCTGTGGACTTGCTATCATGTTCTCAAACTAACACTGAAAATTAAATAACCAAATAACTAAAACAGAATTGAAAACACACAAATAACATACACAAATAACATAAAAACACAAATAAAATACCCCCACACTAGGATTCAACAGTGTCCCCACTGTTGGAACACTAGTAGCAGAGGACTCACAGAGTTCATGGTTGTGGAGGTTGGTCGCGCAGCATCATCTGCCGCATCCATTCGTGCATCTCACCGATCAACCTGCCTTGTCAGATTTGTTCGTTCCCTTGTCTTGTCTTCTCCTCGCCTTGCCTTGTCTGCTCACTTCGGAGATGACACATCTCATTCTCCATCCAATCCCATTCTTTTTTAGATAAGCTCCAAGAGCCTGAGCCGGATTCCTGATGGGGTGAGACTCGAGTAGGCGGTATAGGCGCTTCTTCTACCTGATCTCCTTCATCCTCAAAGAATTCTGTACCTGTACCATCATAAAATTGGTCTTCTTCATCCTGCATTGTGCTCTCATATAGCCAGTTATTCACATTTTGAATACTAATAAAGTCAGGGGCAGGTAAAGCGAGGAGATGACTGTTTCGGCTTACCAAGGAGTAGTAATTATCAAAGACTCGAATCATACCTTGGGCAGTCAGTGTGGCAAGATCTATTTTTGTCTTACCTAAATCAGTGGGTTCCTCTCTCAAGAGAGCACCGTGGCCAAAGTGATTTACGATTTGAGTAATCATACCGCCTACACTTATTTCGCCGGAAGGTGCATTCGCAACCCTCTTCAGGTGGTCAGCTGCAAAGGCAGCTACATTAATGAGTTCTTGATTTGCCATGCCATACATGAAGTACAACTCCCTCTGAGTCGCCACTCCTGTGATGTCACCCCTGCCGAACAGTGTATATGCCAATCCCTTTTGAGCGTACCTGAAACATGGGTTATGGATACACGAGGCTTTTGCCGCCTTCGCGACATAATCAGTTCTGCCGGTAATAGCCTTCCAGAAGTCCCCTGCACTAAAATTTCCCGGAGGGGCTCCGGGTCCAAAATTGGGGAGCTTCAGAATATCTCCCAATTCGGCTATGGTCAGGCTATGATCAGTATCAAATAACCGAAACCTCAGTGTACCATAATATTCCTCCTCCACACCTGTCCACCTGTGCTTCAACTGAAATTCTAAAGTACTCAAGAATTCAACAGTTATGCGCTCATAAGTCGGCGCTTCCAATTGCATAAAATCTAGCATACCCAGAGTGTGAAATATCCTATGGACTTCTACTCTCAGCCTTAGATTATCAAGCGTAGTGTTACAGATATACCTTGTGGGAGCGAGCTTACGCTTGATGATGTTGGAGTACTTCTTCTGATGATTCGGGTCTTCAAAGAGTATGCCGTGAGGATTCGCCATACGGTGTGCTCTCTTTCTGGGGCACGAAGTTTCCGCCACTGCTTTTCCTGTGTCTCTACGAGGAGGCATTATTAAACCTGCAAAACACAAACAACACAGATAGTTCGAAAATTTTCGAAATCACTGTTAGTGAAAAA